ATCAATCAATCAATCAATCAATCAATCAATCAGTTAGTCAATTAATCAGTCAATCAATCAATTTAAACATTTAATATTTATACAGGTTGTGCCTAAAAGATTAATAAGCTCGATCAAAATACGGACGTGTTTCCATTCTTTACCTCGAATATGTCTTAAAGTGCGATATTTCTGAGCCACTTAATCAGGAATTTATCCTTCTGCTCGCATCCGCCTAAACGCGTTAATGTAAATCTACCCATTGAAACACAAGACCAGATGGTCATCTTCTCAGTTGGCCTTCTGTGATGGACAAAACCGCTAAAACCGCACCTATAAGTTGACCTAATGACTCTGGCCACATGTACTCGTTTGATTCCCCATTCTTTTCATTGGTCCAATTTTCTCTTGGTCAAATTAGTCCGGAATCTTTGTAATATTGAACTTGTAGTTATTTCAGCTGATTGAGGTGATGCGATTAGGAATGACCAAAACTGTTTTTTTGTTTTGTTTTTTAATTACAGCTGGACTCCTCGAGACACGAACGGAACCATTTTCGTCATACCACCTCCTCTACATAAAGGACGAGGTAGGAAACTGCTGGCAAGATCTTGGACAAGCACTTGGAATTAATCTAGCAGAACTTCGGAATCTAGAACGTGATTACCGAATCAACAGCGAAAGGGCTAGTGAGGTCTTGCAACTATGGATGGATAAGAATGGGAAAGATGCTACAGTGGGATGTCTTGCCTGCATCCTTATACAAATTGGACATAAAAGTATTGCAGATAAACTGCTTGGTATGTAAATGGTCTTGCTCCAGTGAAATGAGAGAGGTGATTTCTCTAGGACGTCAGTAGTGTTTTCACTGCTTGGCCTGTTAAGGTTATAGTCAAGTGATAATCAAATGTGGCTCATAAATAAATTACCCGGGGAATACGTTAACGTCGGAACGATCACCGGCAAATGACGCAGATAGAAGGTAAAACAAAAAATCAAAGGAGACCTATGGACAAACTAGTTGATTAAGCAATGTAGAGATGAAATATGCTGGCGAACTTACAATAATTGGTCTATCATTAGGGACATTTAGATTGAACTACGAGGACGAGATTGAATATGAGTGCGATTTTCTAATTTCAAACCAGTGACGTTTCAGGGCCCTTGCTCTTCGTGATGGTTTTAGGTAGAGAGGGGAGCTCATGGGGTGAGATGAGTATGTGACGTGACTGAAATGTGGAGACTGCAAACTAAAATTGAAAAGTCGTTCTCGAACTCGACCCTGTACTCGTATTCAAATCTCAAGTCCCCTAGACTATTAAAACAAGCTGGGTTCGTAGGCTTTGTTCGCTGGCTTTTGTTGCACAAATATTACAAAGACATGCGTCCAGGACAGCTAGGGTGGAAAAATGGCAGCTGAACATGGAGTGGTAAAGTAATTCCTCCCCCCCAGCCTAGATCTTCATGTTGATGTTTGTTTGATCTTTCGCATTGCATTTCTCTCAAAACTATAGGTAAAGGTTTGTTATAGGACAGCACTTCTTTTCCAATGTGGAAGCGCTTGTCTCTATATACATTGCACCTAAAATATATCAAAATAAGTAGCCTCTGTTGCAAGCATTTTCAGTGTTGAAAGTGAAGATTGATCATCGCAGTAAATTTTCCAATTTAAGCAGCCTGAAAAAAATCAGGGCTTCGAACCCCAACCTCCATACATTGGGAGCGAGGTCAATTNCGATTTTCTTGTGTTTAAGAATTTAAGACTCCATTCTAAGTAAGTTTTTAGCGTCTGTGCGTGTCATTTTAATTACTTGGTTGTTTCTTTTCCTAATGATTTGCCTAGATAAAAAGATTAGGCAGCAATGGGAACCGGAAGGAGAACAGTCTGAGAAACCGTGTGAACAAGAAGAAAAACAGTCTGAGTCACTGAGTGAAGGAGAAGGTGAGCAGTCTAAGCAGCCTAGTGAACGGGAAACAACAGACGAGACTTTTAACTTGCTAGCAGGAGGTAAATTAGCTTTTGGAAAGCACTATTTCTGCAGTCTCGGCAGATGACTGACGGTACAAATAGGACAGTTGTCACCTTCAGACCCGGCAAATTCGCCCCCAAAATTTAAAAACTAACGCTATGTCAAAGCAGTGTTTGTATTGATGGCTATAACAGCTTCAAATATTTTTCAGAGCAAATCAAGTGTTTAATTCAAACCAAAATGGATTACTATTCGATGAAAAAATTACAGTCCTCTCCAAAGTGAGCGAGAAAAATGTTCCAATGAAATGACCAATATCAAGCAAATGGTTGCTAAAAGGGTGCAAAAATAGGAAGTAAACACGTGCATCTCTTAAAAAATTGTTTAGGTGAGAGGAGGGGAGGGTAGAATTGGTGAGTTGAGATTTGGGATATTTGTAGCATACAAAATGGAGGGGGACTAACAGACTGATATTTAGCAATGCAATCTTTTAAAATCTAATCTTTACCCCTTTTTTTATAAGCAGCAGTTGGTGGCTAGTAACGCATACCGCATACCCAGGTTGACCTCCCTCAAAATGCTTGTTAAAGTCCTAAATCACACATCTTCAAAGGTTGAACTTTCAGCATTGCAATTGCTAAAAAGTAGAATGGTTAGGCTCGTTTTCAAGGTTATTTGATTTTTTTTCCTAGCGTTTGAAAAGCTTTCAGTTGAACGGGTAGAAATTTTCCAATTGCCATTTATGCATAGTTCATGAGGCGAAACTGGTCTTTTTGGATTCTTCAAAATTTCTCGAAAACTATAAAGTTTTAGAAAGTGACAATGGCGTATTGGAAGATGGTTCCATAAAAGTGTTCTTCAGACAAAGTATAACGATTTTTGGCTTTTTTTTTAGCCTAGCTAGGGATTCCTATATTTCCAGATAGTAACTCTTAGGCTGGATAAATGCTAATCTTTGTTCCGCTTTGTGGTTAATAAGCAGTGAGCTAGTCAATTTTGCCCCTTTCCATTCTTGCCATGCTCAAAACAAGGCCTTTAATAGCTTTGATTAATGCGAGCTCTAAAAAAAAATAATTTGACACATTTCCAAAATTTATAGTTGTTGTATTTTTTTGGACCTAAATTGCAGTATACCACTTTTACAGAGACTGTCACTTAAGTTTGCGTTTTTCTTTCCTTATAGCACCACCAGAGATTTTTGCTCGGGGACCCCTGACCATCCAGACTTACCAGAAAGCCCTTTTAGAAGGAAAAGTCAGTATAAAAAGACTGCCAATCATGTTGATTGGGCACTGTCAGTCAGGAAAAACGAGTTTAAAAAGGTCACTAAGAGAAGAACGGTTCGATCCAGAGGAACCCAGAACTACAGGGATCGAGGTGCATACTTCCTATTGCAAAGTGTTAGCAGATGTTTGGAAAGTAGGGGAAAACAACCAAACAGCGGATTCAGAGCCCCGACCAATTGCTGACAGTGGCAAAGACGAAGAAGAAATCCATTCAGTTTTGTGGGATTTTGGCGGGGAATCAGTTTATTACATCACCCATCCGCTCTTCCTCGCAACACGAGGAATATATTGTTTGGTCTACAACTTAAGTCAAGATCCAGCTGAAGCCGTCGGTGAAAGGAGTAAGAGGAATTATCTGGAAGACTGGATGTTTCTGGTTTCTAACCTGGTTTCACGAGAAGAACCCAAGGAGACACCTGCATCTGAGATGTTACCAGGGAAATTAACTCCTCCTGTGTTCCTCGTTTGTACTCACACTGACGAACCTTACAGAAGTGTACAGCCTAAAGAGCTAGCTCAAGAGATCATTGAGTCATTAGAGACAACACTCCATGGTCAGCGTTTTTTTGATGTGTTTATGGTTAACAATTCAAAGTCAGGAAGTGAACAAGAGTGTCCAGAAGTCATCCGCCTGAAAAACGAAATAATTAATGTTGCTAAGGAACTGCCACAAATGAAAGAAGTGATTCCAATTAAGTGGTTGCAGTATGAGAAGGCTGTTGCCGCGAAGATTGAAGATGGCTTCGAGTGGATTTCGCTTGACGATTCCAGAAGTATTGCTCTTGACATATGCGGAATTTCTAGTGACGAAGAATTTTTGGCATTATTGAATTTCTTGCATGACCAAAGAATTTTAATTCATTTTAATGACACTCCAGAGTTGAACAAAATAGTGATCTTGGATCTACAGTGGTTGACAGATGTTTTCAAGAAGGTTCTCGCCATTACGTCTCATGAAAGAAGGGAGAGGAAATCCATGAAACTGTCATGGCGAAAGCTTGAGACAACGGGAATCTTGGACAATAAACTCTTACGGCATGTGTGGCTCCCCTTGTTTGATGGCCGAGACACCTGGAAGAGTCTCATCGCCATTATGGAGAAACTCTGCTTATTATGTCCGCGGTCGTCATCAGCGGAGAGCGAGTCACACAGGAATTATCTTGTACCTTCCATGCTGATGTTCCCACCACCAAAAGAAGATGTCGCTGAGTTGATTGCATGTACAAGCATACCATCGCTTTTTGTGAAGTTTGAATCTGGGCAGGTGCCCCCTAGCTTATTTCCTCGTCTGGTGCTTATGTTCTTTCAGTGGTGCACCAAGGAATGGCTTTACCAATCGGAACCAGAGTTACATCGAAATTTTGCAGGGTTCCACAGCTACCCAACTGAAGGCTGTTCTGTAATCCTCCTCTGTCATTCCTCTCTCATTGAAGTTGTTCTCCCCATGGAAGATAGTGGGAATCATCCATCTTCAGAGCCGAGCCACAACTCCTTTCAGGTAAATACGGCTCGCATCGTGCACCGACAACTAGGATTGATGCTTGAATGCATGCGCAAGGAGTTTCAGTGGTTGAATAACATGGCTTATGAGATGTTAGTATGCTGTCCAGTCTGTTGTAAGCAAGGATCTGAAAACCATTGTCGCCAACACAAGATACCTGGTTGCAAGCAAGAGGAGTGCCTTCATTTGTGGTCAGAGAGTCAATGCAAAGATCCCATCACATGCACCAAGTCTGCAGTTGATGGAAATTACAGGATTCCGGTCACGTTCTTTGCACCTTGGTTCAAATTTGTAGACGAACAGGTAAAATGATGTACGTTATACTAATATATAAAGTTGTTATGAAGTGGACTGGATGCATTGACTCCCGACATCATGCACGCGGTGAGAGTGTTTCAGGTGGTTTACAAAAGTCCCAGATCAACTCTTAATGACTTTCATCGCGCTAAGGTAATTGACAAAGACGATTATCGTGTGCGGAAAACTCTCGAGTCATGGCACACTGCCATGACTAATGAGGCGGACAATAATTTTAAACCACTGTCAGGACAGTAGGCTATTTTTTTTTTTTAATTAGTCTCTTTTTATTATCCAAATTAACGTTTGTTGTCACCATTCTCAATCATGCATTTTTATTCTGTATTTTTTCACACTTTTCGTCGTATATATTCATTCATTCGCGTCTTTTGGTCATTAGTCAAAGGCTGTAGGTTGGCAGTCGAAAGATTTTTTCAGCCAGAGAACCTTTTCTTAAGAGCGCCTTTTTTTGCGACCAAGTGAGAGATGGTACTTGGTCCAAAAAAATTTCTCACTTCATAGTTCGCTCAAAAAATACCCCATGATAAACTGTTATCTTTTTTTCTTAGATATACTTATATTTTCCCGAAAATTCGAAAAAATTGCACAAGATGCCGACCACTTCAAAAATGGTGGAGACTAGTGCGCCGAGTATCAACACAAGAACATTGCTCCTGAAAAGTGCAAAAGCAAGTTCGCTTTTCTTCTTTTTGTTTATTTGTGTGGGAGGAATTGGCAAATTATTCAAGCCAAAAAAAAAAAACAGGATTTTTTGTCTACTTTTGAATTCACGGTGCGTGTTTAAAAATCACCAATAATTTTATGATTTTAAAACCTTATTTTGGAGCATTTTTTCAAGACACGTTTTCCCTATGCGAAATAACTCCGAATCACTTGAGATTAAAGTTGCGATTAGAGGAAATGTTCTTTTCAAGGATATAAAGATAAGTTTGGGGCTTTTGATTACTGCACAGAAAATGCAGGCTCTATTTCGGGAAAATCGCTACCTCGAGGTGTCAACAACTGCAATTAATCGAATTCGAGTTTCTGTTGTCGAAACCAAAATTCCAAGCAAAACTTATCCTATTCAATAAAAATCAATATTATAAGCTCACCTTGTAAATTCAGTGGCTGTAGATGGGGTTTTATCCCTATTTTCTGTTCAAAATAATCATCTTCTAAAGCTTCCGTTTAACATTGTTCACCGAACGAATAACCGATCTAAACAGTACCTGGATGGATCTTGTAGAAACATCGCAATTCTTGAGAGTCTCAAACATTTCGTAGCTTCTATCCTTCTATAACGTACAAGTGAACTTGTAAACAAGTAAATTCTAATCATCTTAGTGGCCGAAACGAGCAAAATCACCGAGTCCCGTGCTAACATATTCGAAACATGTATTGTTTGTACGTCACGCAATGACATGTCACACGCCTTTTAAGGAAGGCCGAGTAAATGGAACTTTGAAGGGTGCTATATTTTGCGGAAAAGCAAATAGTTTGGTTTCGTTAAAAAGAAATACCTACTGCTTTTGATATAGAATACTTGAAGCAAATCCTTGACCGAAAGGCTAAAAGGAAAGACGAAGGATCAAGGAGGAAAGACCGACTGAGAAGGAGGCAAGAAGACCGAACAATTACAAAACCAAACAAAACAAATTAACAAACAAACAAACAAAGTAGAAAACGTTAAGTATAGACAAACGTAAACTTTTCATTGGAACAGGAACGTAGCAATTAAAAAAAAATTGAAACGAAAAACGGGAGCGTTTAACACAAAAGAAAACCAAATCGTTATCAGTCCTAATGATATGATGAGCTTCACGACATTCCAAATTTCTTTAACAAACAGATAGTCACTGAGTTTTGTACACCGGCGGAGTTGAGGTTGTGCTGCCAGACTGAACGCATATGCAATGGTAATTAACTGTTCTTTTCAGATAATAGTTGGGGGACAGTGCTCCCAAGATAAAAGAGGTCGAGCAAAAGTGAAAGGTGCTCTTATACTCCCATTACTTTCATGTGGAAAAGACATCTCCGTACACGCTCAAACTGATGCGCCGGCATCAATATTCACTACCCTTGATGATATTTCGAGGATGACTATCTGTCCTGCTCATCGCTCCATACCCATAAAGGAAAGAAAAAGGAAACCCATGAATTGATTTTCTCATGGTTATCATGGCTAGCGGTATTTCTCGTGGGCGCGTACGCGCGACGACGGCGACGGAGTCGCGCAAGATGCCGGCCATACTCCAGCTAATAGGTTGACAGAGACATGTACCCTGTGGTTTGTAGCGTCCTTATTTGATATTCGACATCCATGTTATGGTCAATTGGTCAAAACAAGGTATCCGCTGACCAGTATCACGTAACCATATCAAGTGCTTGTTTTCGATTAGAGCGCGGGCTCATGTCACTTTAACTTGTTGATAACAGGGCGGGTTGTTAGGAAGACGGTTAACTCTAGACAAGGATCATAAAAGTTCACCGAAGTATAATTTTTTCTTGTACACAAATGTTTTTCACTGCTTTTGTTTTGTGTATTTTGAGGACCTTAAGGTTATTCAAACTTATAACAGAACACATAAACGGAAAACCTTACCGTAAAGTTACAAAACTCAAATCGAAATTCACACTTATCCTGGGTTAGCTTAATCGGGCTTTGATGAACCCAGCCCTGGAGCTCCGCATTTAGGCTTGGCTTAATCTATATCTTATTGATGTTTAAACGTTATCGAGCTAAAACGTTGTTTTAAATCATGATTATTGTGCTCTCGCGCTCACACCAGAAAACACCTCTCTTACTGTCAAACGATATGCTATTAAAGCTGGCGTGTTTAAATCAGTAGCACCGCAGAAAGTATGATAATAGCACACATACTCTCTGCCGGATTAAGGCTTTTAACACAAGACCTTGAGAACAAATAAGGTTCGACACAATATACAACCACATCCTAATGTGTCGGTACATTTGTTTTTATTTTTTAAAGCAGATAGCTATTGATGGACGTGATGGACGAGCTGTGCCTTGTAAGAAGGGTAAGCTTCAGTATTACTCTTTCTTAGAAAGATTATTGATAATCCTACTGTTGCTACTACATTTTTAACTTGGAAAATAAGATTTTCCAGAGGTTCGGTATGGATGGGAAATTCACTCGATCCTTCCTTTGCTCCTACGCTTCCCGTTAGTTTTTTTGTAAATCTGCTGACCAATTTACAAGGCTTTCGCAGTCGTAGCGAGGTTCAAATAGCCCTTATTCAAGATGTCAGTCATCTTTACGTGCGCATAGAGAATGATGGGATAACTGCTTGGTCGCATGGTCTCAGGGGAGGGGGGAGGGCGCAAACATTTTCAAAATTAAGTCCGAGTAGGACACTTTGACATCCGAGATATCAATACAGCTAATTTTTAGATGGAAGGTGGATCAGCTATATTAAAAAAAAAAAAAAAAAGGAAAAAGGAAAAAAATCTAGCCTTCTAAAAACTGCAGGGACTGAAATTCCTCTCCTCTTGTAGGAGTGCAATTCAAAAGAAAGTTACTGATTACAATCTAATTCTGCTATTGTCGACGTTTAAGTCATATCATGTCTCTTTTTGTGGTACGTTTCATTATCTAGACGACAGGGAACAAGTCCTTGTCCTCCCCAGTGGAGTACTAGGGGCCCTTCAGCTGCAGACGTGTGATGCAAATGATGTCGTTGCTCGACTACAAGAAAGTCTTTCATTGACACAAGCGTCACTGGAAAAGCCAGTTCCAGAGACTAAGCGGCTAATTCGCTCCCTTTGCATGAAAGCTAAAGCTAAAAGCAGGGTCGATGTTGTCAAAAAACTCAGGGAA